TCATCCCATCTTTTTAGGCCATATCAGTGGTGTCATATCATATCTCTGATCCCTCCTTGTGGCCCCAACCTACCCAGCCTACCCACTCTAAATTTGAAATGTTTGAATCTACACTACCTGAGGATGCTTCTATAATCTATAATAACATGACTAATCATGTTCTTGAGAAGAAGATTTTTTAAAGCTGATTCTAATATATTCTTCTGTAAAACTTTGACCCTCTGTTGTTCCCCCAACCCCTTGGAGTCATAATTTTAACAAACTTGATTCTACAATACCTATGCTTGCTTCTTTATAAATATGACTAATAATGGCTTATCTGTTCTTGAGAAAAAAGATTTTTAAAGATATTTTCTATATATTCCTATGGTAAACTTTGACCTCCCGTTGTGGTCCTGTCCTACATGTACCCTCAGGCGTCATGATTGGAACAAACTTAAATCTTCACTACATGCATGTACCTGAGGATACTTCTATGAAAATATGACTAATCATGGTTTTGCTGTTTTTGAGAAGAAATTTTTAAAGACATTTTCTATATATTCCAATGTAAAACCTCAACCCCCTCTTGTGACGCGCCTACCCCCGGAGGTTATGATATGAAAAAACTTGAATTTAAAAGTTATGTAATGAAGTTTTCACATACGTTTTATCTTTTCTTGCCCAGTGGTTCTTGAGAAGAAGATTTTTCAGAAGATGCTACCAAATTTTCACGAATTCTTAATTATCTCCCCTTGAAAGAGGGTGTGGCACTTCCTGTGAACAAACTTAAATTGCCTTTACTCAAGGATGCTTTGTGGCAAGTTTGGCTAAAATTGGAAGAAGTCGAAAATATAAAAAGTTTACAGACGACAGACGTCGGACGACAGACGGACACCGGACACTCCTTCTTCATAAAAGCTCAGTTGAGCCTTTGGCTCAGGTGAGCTAATATATTTCATGGTTGCAATGGTAACACAGTGAAGTCACACAAAATTTGTTGGTTAGTTTTAAGAAAAAACTGGTAATTATTGCCACATTATAGTGTAACCATGGAAACAGCTTTAAACAGTAGTTTAAAGTAATTTTTTTTTGCTGCTAAAGGAATTTTGTTACCTTTTACATGTAATCAAGAAACATATTATTTGACTCACCTTGAATTGTATGCCTGTCTGATAGAGAACTGTGTAAAGTTGAATATCATATATTGATTAAAGGACAAGATAGGCTAAGACCCCTTTTTGGCCCCTGGTTTGGCGTGTCTTTTAGAATGATGCAACAGTTTATCAATGAAAACCTGTTGTCACCCCTACCACGAAATGAGTATATCGGTTCTAAGTTATGGGTACGCAGAGGTCACAGGAAGATCAGAAAATATGTCAATTTCCGAATTTTCACATTTTTATGCAAATTTTCATCGATTTTACAGCACAGTTTGTTTCAGAAAACACAGAGAACAAGCTTGCCTATCTAAATAAAAATTTATATATATTATAAATTTCATATACACTAGTATCAGATGCATCTTGTGTATAAAAATCTCAGATAGGCAAGCTTGTGCTCTATATTTCCCGAAGTGAAAAGTATCTTACATTTGACGAAATTCCACCAGAATTGAGGAAATTCGGGAAAATGTCTTACTTCTACACCCTCTTGTGGCCTCCGTGTAAGCTTTAAAGGTAAAATTAGTACTGGTTTTAAAACAAGCATCACGTGCATCATTTTAAGTTCTTAACAACAAACTATATCAAAGTTTTAAATGTGTTCCGATTTTTACATCAATAAGGGGCCAGATTCAGCCATTACCATTACTCTTTCTTTTGATAAAGAAAATAACATCGCTAATTGCTTTTGTTACCAAGAAGGGAAAATGCTCAATATTGTTGACTTCATGGAAATTTTAAGCCAATAAGTTTCTTGCACCCAGTTGAAGATTGCAAAATTTTGTGTGGTAGCCAAAATTGAAAGTCAAGTTAAATTATTTGTTCATAAATGTAAATCATTAAAAAAATGTATGACTTTATATAAATGAATGAATAAATGAAATTATTTCTTTTGAATACTTTGTTTCCATAGTTACATACAATATTTATGTATGCAATAGTTGGTGTCAAGTATGTTTATCATTCACTTAAGGAAGAGAAGGACCTTGAGCTGAAAAAAATACTTGTCATTCAATTTTTTTCATATTTTGTATATTTCTAATTAAGTATGTCCCACATATCTTAAAGCAGTTATATCATTAGGTTTCTTACCTTATTTTGGAGATATTGATTGACAAATACTATGCCCTACCGTATCTAAGTGGAGTTTTAATTCTCCATGTTTCCGGTCTCATTACTCTGTCCATAATTAGATTTTTTAATTATATATAAAAATATCAAAGTGGACGTGTATCTTTTAAATTATTTCAGAGTATAACTAAGATTTAAAATTCAAAAAAAGCAAGTTTTGTCTATCACACTGCATCTGGATAGGGAAAATTACGCACTTTTTAAGACAACTTAAACAATAAAAAACGTAATTTACAAAAAATTCTATCATTCAATATTTTTTAATTTACGTTGAAATGCAAATCCTTCAAATTATTGATTAACTGTAAAAATTTCGAATGATGAAGCTGACCTCATTATTTCACAGGACATCGTTAAAGAGGACATAAGCATGACAAAAACGTGTCATGTTACATTTCTCGAGTACGGGAAAAACCAACTATGACGTCACACTTAAGCTATAAAAGCGAAATATGATATACCTACATATGATTTCTGTCATCAGCCATGCAAAAATAATTTTTGTGTTCCCCGTTTCTCAAAATATTTCATCAGATACTGATTATGTCCTGTTTCTACATAATAATACCACCCCTGTGTTCACCGAGTATGATCTTGTTGTACTAACAGATCGTGTATGACGTCACCGACTTGTTGGACGCGCAGTTTAGGGAAACAGAGGAGTGGATCAATCTTTTTCATAATTTGTTAATCTTTACAAGGATGTTAAAACTTTTTTTTATTTTTTTATATAAAATGGTAATCAAAGTTAAAAAATTGTCAAAGACTTATACAAGAATTGATGGTTTACACGTTTTGCACTTATATAAACGGAGACTATGTCGTAGTTAAACAGAGTCATGTGACCATGTGTCCATCATCCCCTTAAGACATCAAGGCTTCACCTTTTGGAAACAGTCATTGTCATTTTCTGCATTGCTGCAAACGCTGCCATTGGACTCTGAACATGTTAAAAAATGTCATTTTTCACACTTTAGGGCATGTTGCCATTATAACCATGAGACATAGTAGCCAATTGTTGCCAAATATGTATTAAGCAATGCTGGAGCTGTCTCAGAATTTCTCTAAATCTCTTAGTCTTTGATACATAAACTCTCCTTTCCAAAAGAAAATAGGTTTAATGTGGCATTGTATTCTGTAATACATAACACAAACTCGGAAAAATCTAACAAATCATTTTTCATGTACATCTCTTAAGAATTATTTAACCCTGTCTTGTTAAGACCCCCTCCCACTCCCATTCATATTCCCAACATTTCCTGTATGTTTTAATTATGTTTTGAAACCCCTTACACATTTTAAATACATGTAAATAAACCAAACTTTTCAAACAATAAATCGCCCGTCTAATTCAAATGCCATTGAACTTTATAAATTCAAAATCAACAAACATATATAGTTATACACCTAAGTCTATGAGAATGAAAGATCTAAGATTCTAAATGCAGACGTATTTACAGCTACAATTAATATGATTGCTAAATATACAGAATGAATACTATTTAAAATTTAACATACCATACGTTGACATTTGTAAGATATTCTCCTATTCCTTCTCTTTGTTTTACAAGAATGCCGCCAGGTTTTACAAAACTGTGATAATGTTGACCTATATAGATCACATGGAAATAGTTTGCAACAAGGATCGGCTGCATCAGCCCTGGCCATGGCATCCTGCTGTGTCACTCAATTAACTCTCGATAAACATATCATCAAAGGGGGGACTTAATTCCCATAGCACAAATAAATGACTCCACTGAATTATTTAAATTCAGGAACTTTGTTGAACAAATATTTTTTTAGAAATTTTTTTTTCTTTTACTCTCTCTTTTATATATAAATATTTTTTTTACAATGGTATAAGTGATAAATATGAACACATTTCCGTGTGTTTTTTTTTTAAATTTTTTTATTTTTGGGGGTCTAAATTTTATTATCACAGCTCAAAATCAATGATAACTCAAACTTTTAAGCTATTTATAAGAAAACAGAAGTTTTATATATATACATGTAACACCCTACACTAAATAGTTAAAAACTTCTGATGCTTGGAGTTGGTATTTCTGTAACGTTTTTACAATGTTTTGCAAACATTTTAAGACAATGTTGTATTCATGTTTTCTGGTAACATTTGTATTTCATGAAATTTATAATAATTATTACACAAGGTATGATTTTTATTTAATCATTCTATTCAATTTATAGCTACACGATATTTTATCATTATAGAAATTCATGTTAAATGCTAAATGTTTTCTGAAAACCTCCTTGCAACAGGAACAAAATGTTATGAAAAACATTTTTAAAATGATTGTTTAGAACGTTTTCTAATAACGTCTTTACAACCAAAATAAAACGTTTTAAAAACATTTTATAAACGTTTTATTGAAAACGTTTTCAGATAACATCATTACAACGGGAATAAAATGTTATGAAAATGTTTTGTGCTACCTGGGAACACGATGCTCTGCATGTTCTGGTGTTTTGAAAGTGTCGAAACTCGAAAAAACAAGGCCTAGCAACTTTGTTCTCACTTTCATCAGCTGTTCATTTTCGTTAAATTAAAATTTTAAGTACATCAAATTTAATTCATCGTACTGCAACTAAAAAGTTGGCTGCCTAAACAAATATAAACATGTTGATATTAATCCGACATATCCAATGAACGAGTTGTTAAAAATATACTTCCGGGGGAAGGACGATTTCTGAATTTTCTCTTTAAAGTTTCAAAATTTCAGTCCACAAGTATAATGAAGTATTGCATCTGCATCTTGTTTTCGTAATTGCATGGTGAAGTTTGTTACCCTGCACATCGTCAATGGCCTACAGACATATTTTGTGCAGGTAAAATTCACAGCATTAACAGTAGCGGGTTAAGACCACGCGCCTAAATGGAAATGGGACAATTACAGTGCCAAAAATTGATTCATTGTAAATGATTAAATCTGCATATATTGCACGAAAAGCAACAACTTTTGGTAAACATTTTTTCTGTATCCATACTATTTTGAATATTGATAATAACTTATTGGGAGTCAATCTCACAAAATTTGGAGCACAGAAGAACTTGCTTGCTAATCATGTTGCATTTAATGAGTGTACATAACATATAATCATGTATGCGGATTTATGACATTTTAGCGAAATTATTTTTATTTTCAATTTGTAGATCAATTTGGGAATTAACCAGAGACATATGTCTCTGTTGTAACCCAAACAGTGAAACAAGATATTATGCCAGGGGGTATCAGGTACATTCGCCTTATCTACCTGTTCGCCTGAGTCCGTTCGCCATTATTCTTGTTCGCCCTATATCTCGCTCGCCCTGATATATATACAGTATATAGTAATTATTAACATTTAATATCAATTCAATTCAATATTTCATGACTTGGTGATTTTTTTCCCAAATGTTGCTACTGTAACAGTATTTTTTTTATTTACCGTAATCTTAATTAAATAATTCAAATTTGATATTAAATAAATGCTTTTTACATGCTTAATTGGTTATAATTATACTTAATAATTTCACTGTAATTTAGGGGATCATATCCGTGTGTGTTTACAATCTGCGTTATGTTTTGAAAACAATTAAAGGACTGAGACGTTAATTTCTGTTGGTCTGCTGAGTTTTTGATAAGACAGGTATTTAGTGTGACCACATGCATACGTCTGTTGTCTACTGTGTGCAATTTATGTACCAATGTACATATAATTTATTTTAAAAAATCCATTGGTTCATTATTCAACTAAATAAGGTGAACGGACCCTGTGCGAATAAGTTTTAGGGCGAGCGAACTCTGGGCGAATGAGAATTACGGCGAATAACGTCAAAGGCAAACAAATTTTAGGGCGAACAAAAACATACAACCATGTCAGGCATAGCCTTTTCATTTAATAAGTATAACTTGATGTAATGGTTTGGGCCGAGGATATTGGCCTTGGTAGCTCAGTCGTTAGAGCACCTGACTATTGATGCAGGGGTCCCAAGTTCGATTCCCTGTCCAGCTATACATTTTCTCCTTTCCTGTTACACTTGATTAACTGCTATTTGAAATAGCTTGATTTAGCTATTTTATGAGTGTGGCTAAAATGGGTAGCTAAACCTGGGCCAGGCTGGGAATTTTGAAACTGAAAACCAGATTTTTGCAAATTACTGAAAAAATACTTATTTATTCGTTATGAAACTTACTGATATAATTTATTATAAGAATATTTGTCTTTGCTGAGAGTTTTATCCCCAAATATTATGTTTTTTCAATGACTATTTTCAATTGCCATTTTCACTGTTGTAAAAATGAGTAGTAAACCTGGTTTACTTATTTTTGTGTTTATTACTTAATATCAGTGATGTAATTGCAATTATGCGTGTTGGATCGATGAAAATTAACTTAAACTAAGTACCGGTAAACAAAAAAATTCTTACTGTTATATAAATGTTAACCAATTATAGAAAATATACCAAGTACACATTTTTTTAAATACGCGGGATGAACCTCAGAGATAATGACAAGAGGATCAATGTTATTTTAAAATTAATTCCAAGTTAATACCCATGTACCAAGCCAGCTTTGTAGATTTTAATTATCATACATTTATTTACTGGTAGTAACTTTATGAATCTTAGTAAGTACCCATATCCCAAGCTAGTTCTTCAGACATAATTCCAAATTAATACTTGAATACCAAGCTAGATGGCTGATGCAGACTTTATCTTTTCAATGCCACTAAGATATATGGCAATATTTTGGAATTTTTCAGTTTCCACAGCAAATGCATCCAGTTTTGGCCTGTCCTGGGTATTAAAATTTTTTTATCGTTATTTGATTATCAACATTAATTTTTGCAATGGTTGTAATATTTAAGTACTTCAAGTTAATAAACAACAATAAAACATAAAGATTTCCAATTTTCTGGGTAGAATTAGTTTTAAATCCTTTAAATGAGTAAGCCGGGTTTGCATGCTACCCATTTTAGTGATCGGGAAAATGACAATCGGTGATAATCATCATGATCATTGAAACACATATTTAGGGTTAAAACTCACTGCCAAGACAAATATTGTAATAATGAATTATATTAAAGTTTCATGATGAATAGATAAAGTATTTTCTCAGTTATTAGCAAAATCCCAGTTTTCAGTTTCAAAATTCCAAGCCCAGCATGGGATTTACTACCCATTTTAGTCACACTCCTATTTTATCATACATTTTTCTTAAATGTGCATTTTTAGCTCTTCTGAGCCGAAGGCTTAAAGAGCTAATTCTGTGGCCATTTGTGCGGTGTGCTGTGTGCTCTATGAAATAATATGATTAAGAAATAAATAACTGCACGATATACATGTATTTTGAAGATGTTTTATTTTTTCCAGTTGATATTGAGTGAACACTTTCCTCAAAGAGAAGATTGATGTTGAAAGAAACTGAAGTCTGTGCTAATTAAGTCATAATGCTGAAAATAATAAAGATACCAGCTCTATCTTGTTTACAAGCAAGATCATTATGCCTTGGGCATTTTGCAAGAGCAGTTGCAAATTTCCATTGGAATCACAGTGTAAATGTCAGATTCCAAGAAAATAAAATAAACAATAGACAATTGCATTTAAGCTGCTATACACCTATCTTGTTATTCCATGCAGTGGATCAGTGCAGGACACTTAGTGAAAAAAGAACAAGTTCAGTGAATAAGGTTTTACCCACAGACAATGTTCATTGGAGGCAGTTCTCAAGTTTTCACCTGATGAATTTTAATACAGATAACACTAACAAATTGTCATCATTATTGAACTCTCATTGCTTAAATGATGGTAGAATTATCCAGAAAAGAAGATTCAAGCTTTCCCCACAAGGAATTTTAGAGGCTTCTCCAGCAGTTTTACAACCCTACATGAGACTGATCCGATTTGACAAACCGATTGGTAAGAACTTTTACATGACAGTGTGCTAATTATTGTGATTCTTATAAACACCATCTCAATTTGCTGTAGATGATTTATCTGTTTACATGTACCTACAATATATCTTGTATGTCATAATAGTAGGGTGGAGTATTTTTTCATTTTTAAAGAAAGAGTGATTTTTCCTCAAAGTTATGTGGTGATTATTTAAAAGTAGTAACTTAAACATACACTTAAGTAATTCATCTTCTGTTCATAAGTTCTCTGAAATTATTTGTACAGTTACAATTTGTATTTGCAGGTACCTGGTTATTATTTTGGCCCTGTACTTGGAGTATCGCCCTGGCCACTGCCCCAGGCAGCCTGCCAAGCCTGTGGCTACTAGGATTGTTTGGGGCGGGGTCATTTTTCATGAGAGGGGCGGGGTGTATCATCAATGACATGTGGGACAAAGACTTTGACCGGAAGGTGGAGAGAACAAAGTTACGTCCCTTGGCCAGTGGAGAGTTGTCTCAGTTTCAGGGTTTGGTGTGTCTAGCTGGGATGTTGTCAATATCACTGGGTATTCTTCTACAGCTTAACTGGTACAGGTAGAGTATATAAAGGGGGTTGTTGTTACATAAAAGTGTGTGCAGAGGTCAAAGATTTTCCAAAAGTTATTTTTTTTAAATTATTATAGCTCTGCCATCAAAATAATCATTATGTAATTCCAGTAAAACTGGATATATCTGTATCTGGAATTATTTTATAATTAATGTATAATCAAGTTGTGCATCCTTGGAAAGATGGTTTGTTCAGTAGCATGTCAGTATGTTACCTTTCTGAATGAAAGTTCTTAATCTGATAATGAATTTTTAGTGTTGTCCTTGGAGCAGCATCAATGGGACTGGTGATCACATATCCCCTCGCAAAGAGATACACATTCTGGCCACAAGCATTACTAGGCAAGTGTTTTTACCTCGGAAGCTTTTGAAGTGTTTCACACTACAAATCATACTTTTGCTATTTTCATTTCATAACCGTGGAGTTTCCATTGATACATTTACATGTACATAATCACAATCAAATCATATGTTCTCTCTCCCTTGAATATTTTTCAAATGATCATCTTCAAATGTTTTTTTTTTAATGGTAAATTGCAATAATATATTTTTAGGTTGTTTACATAGTTTAATCAAAATACTGTCACAAAAAAATTCTGGTGATGTGAAATTTTCATGAAGTTAAGATATGAATAACCATAGTGACTGGGCCAAAACTGTCAGTTCCCACAGAATAGATGCAAAGATGCATCTATCATATGGGACTCAAAAGAAGAGGAAAATACACACAGCAAATTCCTTTTATTAGATATACAGTAAAACTCAGTTATAGGGAAGTCCTGGGGACCTGTATATTTACTTCGCTATATCCATTATTTGTTGTATCTGCATAACGAATTAATAAAAATATATATAGTGATTGCATCAGCAATATACATGTTTTCTTTCTTTTGACTACTGAATGTGCTCAGTAAAGTATTAAAGGGGCGTGGACACATATTTGAATCTAATATTTTCTAAAATTTTCTAAATGATATCATGACTTATCTTTTGCTAGAGCATTTCACACCAAAATATATTAAAAGCCTATTAAGAAAATTCTGTTATCTGTCTGGAAATTATTAAAACTACAATTTTTGGGACGGGCATGATTGACACATATCCTTGAACTTTCACAAAGTAAAATTTATCCATAATACTTAAAAGACAGTAGAAATTTTGTTGTGTTTTAATGAAAAATATGAAAACTATAATCCAGAAAGTTCAGAGAAGAAATGCCAGAAAACAAAATCAGTATTGTGAGTCCATGTTCAGTGATGTGTGTAGACTAATCAGTTTGAACACACCTGGAAAAACGTAAACGCTAGCAATAAAAGACCTCGTGCCCGTTTAAAACACAGGTGTTTGATGTGATGTTGTGCAGAATGTTGTTGTCATTAAATTCTTAGAGTATTCATGAAAGTTCAAATCATTGAAGTGAAGTTATTTTTTTAATAAATATAGACATTTAAAATTGTAAACAATGCAACTGTGTCCAGGCCCCTAAGTTTTTGTTTCATGAAATTTCTATTATAAATACTTGCAAAAATAATGTCAGATATTTTTTAAATTGGAAATTTGAGAAGTTGTTATCATGAAAGATGTAAATTTCATTATTTGTAATTTCTGTGGAATAGAAAATCACTATATCTGTAAATTTGTTAAATCAGAATTCACTATAACCATGAAATTTTAAAAGGAATTGCTTAGAGTGTTGTCAGGGACCCAAAGAACTTCATTATATTCATAAGTTCTCTCTATCTGTGTTCATATAATGCAAGTTTTACCATACATTGAGTTTAAAGGTAAAAACAAATTCACATGTAAAAGTTCTGAAAATACTAAGCACATGAATTTATATATTCAAGAATCTTTCTTTTAATAACTATTTTTTTTTTTAATTTCATGTAAACTGTAAAGCATGTAGTTTAAATTGATCAATTTGAAATGTGAGAATACATGTAAGTGTAAACAAAAAAAAGTAGAAAACTCTCAGGTTACGTAGATGTTGATAGAGTGTTTCTAATTTGACAGGAGTGACCCTGAACTGGGGTGTCCTGATTGCCTGGTCGGGTATACACGGCTGCTTACAGTTACCAGTTATCCCCCTTTACTTGGCCTGCATTCTTTACACTATCACCTATGATACCATTTATTCCCATCAGGTATCAGTTGCTTCCCTTTTAACACAGAATTAATGCTTTTGCCAAACTTTTAATGCCTTTAGTGACAGAATGAGGTAGAAGATTTTTCTAAAAACAATTTTCATTGCATAAGTGCAAATATATTTGTTTACATTTCCATATGTGTAGTACATATTGCACATCAGTTACATGTATGTTGCACCCTTAAATGCAGCATGCATGGAGTTCACTTCCATAATTATTATTCTTAATAGGCATGATTGTTTCCTTCTTTTTAGGGCACCCTTTTTAGTATGCATGTTCTTTACTATTTTTACATAAAATTTCAGGTAGAAATTATTTTCCCTTTGCATGTTTGTCAATTATATTTATTCACCATGTCCATGCATATTTCTAATGGATATATTATTTGGGTTAAATCACAACAGTCAACTCATTTTGGTGAAAAAAATGTCTGATTCAGCTTCAAATTGTTGTGTATTAAGTAAATAGGAAAAAAGGGGAAAGGACATTGAAAGAAAGGAAAGCTTAAAACACAACGACCATGTTGACATAACATGCATTTGCCCTTTTTGTTTGATATAGGCAATAATACTTAAAGTTCATAATGAGTGTAGGCAAATATCCATGTGTGGCATACATTTATTTAGAGAGTGGACTTTGCAATATACATAAACTTTTTGCTTCCTGATTTTTCCTACAGGTACTATTTTTCTTTGATACATTCTTTTAAAATTTCATTTTAAGCTATTTTAGATGTCATAATACAAGGCAAACAAGTAATGTTGGAAATTATTTAATTAATATTAATCTTGTAAAGTATCCCCATCACTTAGAATTGATGATAAATGACAATTTGTAAAAAGTATTGATAATACTAATTACAATATTGCTAGATATGGTTTTAAGCATGAAAAAAAAATCAAACTACATTAATTTAAAACTGTGTGCTTTCAAATTTTAGAGTAAAACCACATAATTATGCAATTTGTTTAGAAGTGTGTGCAAGTGAAATTCTTAGTGTATAGTAAGGGCATCTTTTTAGTAAATGTCAGATTAGTATGAATGTTACCATGTGAAAATCTATACCAATTGATTTTTTATACTTTAAAGGCTTAAGCTGATAGAAAATATTTAAACTTTAATAACCACATCCTATACATGTACATGTACAACCTGTGGCAGCCATGTATATCTTGAGCATGGCAATCATTTCTCTAACATGCAGAAAAAACTGCAGGGAAATATTGAACTATATTTTTTACATACATAACATGTTTTGAAAAGATCATTTCCATTTATTAAAATTTTCCTCCTAATCAGAAGCCTCTCTGCTAAAACTGCAGACTTTTAGAGTTTTCTGTGTTAAAATATCAGCTAGGCTATAAACTTAGCAGTAAGTACTAAAATTGCTGAGCTTTCCTCTTTTTCTTTCTAGGCACAAAGTAGCTTCTTTAACAAGACTGTGATGTTTTATAAGCACCACATTAAACTTTAATTTCTTGTTCCTCCAAATTAAATTGTTACTAAACAATTAACTGCATTTCTTTTAAAACCTCTAGCCTTAGTGGTGGCCATCCACTCCTCAGAATTTGAGCATTTAACTGCCAAGTTCAAGCTGATGCTTTAACCTCTACATTTGTTTCTCTAGGGCTTACATTTAACTACGGAGCCCTGCTAGGCTGGTCGGCTGTCACAGGTTCGCTAGATCCTCTCTCTGTCCTACCTCTGTATTTAAGTGGCTTTTGCTGGACCATGGTTTATGACACCATATATGCCCATCAAGTGAGTGCATGCTATTCATTGTGTGTGTGTTGAATTACTATCAGGCTTGTTTTTTTTTTTTCAAAAAATTATTTTTCTTTTAAATTTCTTTTACGAATGAAATATTATATTTTGATTGTTTATTTCAGTTAAAATTTTTCGAAATTTGTCATTTGTCAGTAAGCTCCATGTCTTAAAAAATTAATTTTTTTATTCAGATTTTTACATTTTGAGAAGTGGTTTTAAACACAGTTTATTACATGTAGAACAATTATATGTTTTAACATATGTTCTGATTTTCTGAGAGATTTATATAACTAAAGGCACCAAAACATTAAAATATTACATTGATTTCACTGAATAAAAAGATGTAGCTCTGAATGGTCAGCAGAGCTTAGTCTCATTATAACCTATTTTAAGGCAATTGGAATCTCCAGAAAAGTCAGACATCTAGTTAGGAATGTTGTCATAAAAGTTCTATGAACAAAGGCATAAAAGTTTTCAAAGGGATTTTAGCAACAACCTTAAACAGTTAAAAACCTACACTTATCAGGCCGTATTATTCTTGAGCATTTCCTTCATCAGCTTTTTACCGTCATTTAGCCCTACCACGTGAAAGACAGTTTGTCTTGTTCAACTAGACGCTCGCCTGTCTCCGTAAATTCTGACTGTGCTGGTCAGAGTTTATGGAGAAAACAGAGCATCTGGATGAAGACAGTGCAAAACAGGGGAAAAAAGAATAAGTAGAAGCCCTAAAGCCTGCATGCAATAAAGAACATTTCTGTTTACAATGAAAATATAGAAAGTTAACACATTTTAGTAATTGTTATAAAAGAATAAAGTGTTATTTAGATTTATTTATTGCTATTTTCCCTCTGTTTGTTTTGTTAATTTTTTTTAAGATTGAAAATCTTGAAAAATTGTTAAGTCATATGAAAATTAGATCATCAGAAAATTTACTCCCTTGCCTGGAATAACATTTCAACAAATGAAATAATTGAAAATTTTTACCATGCAAGTTCTACCAATCACAAAAGAGAGGAAGAGCATAGTCCGAAGACTGTAAATTGCTTCAACTCTGTATACCATCTTCCAAGTCAGACTCAAACAAGGTCACTTTTATTTCTAATAAAGTGTGCATAAGATGAATATTTCACTGACAAACTGACACAGGTGAGCACTGTGATCCATGGGTCAATTATTCAATGATTTAGAAACTCTATTAGAATGCATGCATGTTTACCATTCTTATTTAATTTAAGTAACATTGGTTTCTTTAAATAATTCCCTAATTAAAATGACCATACCTTGTCATTTTAGAATTACACATAATACATACATAACATATACATGTATGTCCAATTGCTTTAATGTACATAACCTGCTTAAAAATATAATTTGCCTTGTTCAGCATTTAGCACTGATTAATTTTTGTTTGACATATACTTGCAACAAGATTATATAAAAAATACATTCTAACAAATCAGTTAATATGTAAAATTACTTGTAATTTCTTTCAGACTCAAATCTTGAATTAAAAAAAAAAAATCTACTGAACTAAGTTAACAACTTACAGAATTTTGTTAAGTTGTATTACTGAATTATTATTAAAAACTTTGGCTTGCAAGAAATTGATTTGTCTTGAATCAGGATAAATATGATGACATGCTGATAGGCGTGAAGTCTACAGCTCTGAAGTTTGGGGATCAAACCAAGACGTGGTTGGCCGGATTTGGGACAGGCATGGTGTCATTACTGGTTCTTACAGGGAAGATGTGTGATCAGACCTGGCCTTATTACACAGCTGTGTCACTGACAGCTGCTCATATTGCTCACCAGGTAGGTCCTATAGGTCTTTTTTTCTTTTATTGTATGTGTGCTTTCAGCATATCAAAAGGAAGCAAGATTTTAGGTCAAGGTTTGTTCTGTACAAACATGTAATTAAGGCTAAGTGATATATGTTTCATTTATTGTACATAAAAAAGGTACTTGACATATAATTATTATCTTATGATAATTTCTATTTTGGCAGGGATCATACCAAGTACATGTTTGTAGTTATCAAAACTGTTTAATTTAAGAGATAGGATATACAACATGTACAAGTACACATAAAAGATGAGCACAATTACTATATAGTGGACTACCAAGTATGATCCTTTGTGTTGAAATGATCATTATGTAATCATGATATTCTGTTTTTCAGTTGTACACAGTAGACTTGGAAAATCCTGACGACTGCGCTAAAAAATTCCGCTCCAACACCCAACTTGGTTGTGTAATGTTCCTTGGAATTGTTTTAGGAACTCTTTTAAAGCAGGAGGAAGGGAATTCAAACCAAAAGAAGACAGTTTGAGCAAAACTAAGATATTGCATTATTATTGAAAGTCAAATTATAAAGAATTTATTAATGTTTTTATGTACATGTTTTTTGCAAGTGCATGTATTAAGGCATAGTTTTTATGCCCCTCTAATGGAAGATTTGGGGGCATATAGTTTTTGCCCTGACTGTCTGTCTGTCTTTTTTAACCTTGCCCATAACTTTTGTTTGGTTGGAGCTATGGCTTTCTTATTTCACATGTATATTCCTTGTGATAAGACCTGTCCTAGGGTACAGCAATTTTTGACCTTTTACCTTGACCTTGGAGTTTGACCTATTTTGAAAAACTTAAACCTTGGTCATAACCTTTAAATGGTTGGTGCTAGGGCTTTCATCTTTCACAGGTGTATTCCTTGTGACAAGACCTTTCTTTGGGTACCAACATTTTTGATCTCTTGACCTTGGAGTTTGATTTGCATTTGAGAACTTTGACCTTCACCACAGGTTGCCATACAGGGGCATCATTGTTTCACAAACACATCTTGTTTAATATAATAATTATTATGGAATCTTGAAATCATAATATTAAATGAATCGGTTGTTTTTGTACTTTATGAAGTTTTGTAGTTAAACCCTAATTTACATGTTTCTTTCATGCATGTGGTTGATGCATTCATTCTTATGAAAGAATTATTTTATGACTTATCTGAATAATTGTCTAAATATGATACAACTTGCTTTTTTAAGGACAATTTTTACCTTTTATCATTAATAATCAAGGTGCTACAGTGTACCACATGTTTAATAAATTGTGATAACAGATGATGTTAATGTTAATTACTGAAGATGAGGTAATAACTATACTATTTCAAGCAACAAAACTTTAGCATTCTTCAGTGGCAGCATTTTGCAAAGAAAATAATAAATTGTTTATGCACTATTTTAGCTCTACTGGTCAGAGACCAGAAGAGCTTAATGCAATAGTAAAATGTCAACCGTCAGTTTAGCTGTCTTTCTGTCTTCCTGTAAAAAAATTTCAGATTGCTATTCCTTCCACAATTTTGGTCTGATTTCAGTATAACTTGGCACACATGTACACTACACTAAGATGCATAATTCTGTATTTCGGTTTTTGATTTCCATGAACGGTGTTTCATAGTTAATAAAAATGAAATTTCTGTGAAATACTTTCAATGCTGCTCCTCAGTCAGTTTTGGTATGATTTCAATGTAACTTGGCACACAAGTAGACTACTGTTATATGCAAAATTCTATGTATCCTTTTTTTTTTATTTCGTTGAACGGTGTTGCCATGGTTATGAAAAATAGAAATCTCTGTGAAATACTTTCAAAATGCTACTCCTGCAGTTTTGGTCTGATTTCAATATTACTTGGCACACAAATAGATTACACTAAGATTCATAATTCTGTATATTGTTTTTTTTTTTAATTTTGATGAACGGTATTTGCCATGATTAAAAAATAGAAATTTTTGTGAAATACATGTACTTTCAAAATGCTAATGCTCGTACAGATTTGGTCTGATAACAGTGTAACTTGGCACTCAAGTGGAATACAGTATGATTTACAATTATATAGTTTAATGGTTTAAGTTTTTAATGAACAGTCTTGCCATGGTTACTAAAAATAAAAAAAATTCTGTAAAATCCTTTAGAAGGGCTACTCCTCCTACAGTTTTAGTCTGATTGCAATAAATCTTGCTACAAAAAGAAACTCAACAGGAATCGTTATAGTATTCTATTTATTGCTGTTGCATAGTTTCAAGTCCAAACGCTACTTTTTTAAGTACAAACCAGTAGAGCTACAGTCTTATCAGAGACTTCTGGTTTATTTTTATCAAATAAAAGGCATTTTAATTTCGTTAAGTTTTGATCTGTTATAAGGGTTAATTCTTAAGTTTTCAGTTTATTAGCGGCAGGAGGTGTTCATAGATTACATTTACATGAACAAATACGTCTAAGTGTATATACCATATAATGGTAAAATTGCCTTGAAACATATATGCTATGTAACATGATAATAGTTTCAGTATCTTATAGATTGCTTATTAAAAACAATGTTCATGTTGCATTAGCTAAATAGAAAGATTTTCATAAATTACACAATTCTTTTTACATTAATTAACATATTCAAGCTACAAGTTTTCATATTTTATGTAAATATCTTGAAGTCAATGTCCAGAATACTTTCGTAAAAATAGAACAAATTTTATAGAGAAAAAACAATCATTACTATCAATATGATACCCCTATTGGATCATTCAGGTATATGTAGGCAACTTTAGTTATTGAAAACTTGCTATATATGTAAAATAACTCTCACATTAATATCCTTTAACCATTGGCTTTTAGTCCATAGATTGGAATTTTTTTTCAATATCCTGCTCTTTGAATCGAATGCAAAAAATGATGTTAGCAAGGTAGCTAAATGCATGTTTAAATTTCTACTCATTCTTTGGTCTTTGCTCAACTAAGAATTTTGTTCCTGCATTCCTTTGATTAACGGAATATGATTAATGGCAAATCATCAATTTTTTTAAAATCAAGATTCGTTCAGATTGGTTCACTGTTTTTTAAGAAGAAATAAACATGTTGAAAGTAAGAAAAAGAACGTCAAATATCGTCACCATAGCATAAAATTATCCAAAAATACTTTCAGTACCGATACCAACACCTGTTAATGAAAAAATGATAACGATTCACTCACTCGGTTTTAAAACATATAGATCTCAGTGCAAAAGACTGTGGTCGTAAAATTTATGTGTTCATTTTTGGAGAGAAAGCGGAAGAATTCTTTGTTGGTTTGAAGTATGTACTTGACTAGTACATCCGAAATATACTAATATAAATTTTATTAATTCCTTGTTTCTTAATTTCATGACAAAAGAAATATTTTCGTAGAAGATTTTCCCCCATTATGTTTTGAAATTAAAAATAGAATATTCAAAAATATGTTTAATAAGACTTTTTAAAATTTGTAACAGACACATAAACAAACAAAACATTATGACAATTGTCAGAACAGGTGTCACTGTGGCAGGTGAAGGAACCATCACTGCTCAAAGTCCATCAGCACCAAGTATCATATTAAAACTTAGACAGCTGAATTTTTTGTTAAAGTTATAAAATGATTTTGACAAATACAGTTTCATAGTAAGAGGCGACGTTTATACGAGGAGCGTTCAATAATTTCTTGAACAACACTTTTGTTACACGATATTTTGCCCAAAGCACATGTAGAATACTAGTACATTTATAACATACCTCAAGGTAGCCTCTCCTGTATTTCATGAGGAGCTAAGTCGTTTAATCCAGCAAAAAAGTTAACACCCTTTTTCTTGGTATACCCCTCAGATTCAGAAACATAGCAAAACCTTTTACTGACTGCGATTGCTCTCTTGTTTTGTTTAATTGCAATTCGGAAAAAAATACTGCAGAAGATCTGATAAATATGCAGGATACCTTGTGCGTTACAGATAATCCTGTGTGAGCTATGCCTTATGCATGTTATGGGCTGGAACATTGTCGGAAAGAAACTGAAATTTTATGTACCCAGCATTTGGAAGTTAAATTAGGTAAAACATGAAGTTTCGGTATTATATTGAAACATGGAAGCTTTCAGGAACAACATTGCCTTGTGACTTCCTTGTAAGTGGATATTGACTCACCTTAAAATAAAATACTTTCTCCAACAAGACTCAATTCTTTACCTTTCTTTCTGGATGGAAAAAAAATGTGCACATTTTATTACCTCCAACAATCTCATTAGTATCCTTTTGCCCATATTTTAAAACACAATTTGATTTTTTTTGTTTTAGTTTTTTTGATAAGGAACCCTCTTCTGCTTGGTAAGAACATTGGTATTCACCTTGCACAAATTTAAATTTTAAAGAGGCTGGGGGGTTGTGGCCATTTTTAGACTATATTGATCTCCTTTAGAAGAAGAGCTCCATATGAAGATATAGAAAATGATCAAATTTTAAAACTAAAATTTTTGAAATTTTTCTTTGCCAAATGATAGTTGACAGCTTAAGATATCATATCTAAAAAAATAAGTTAAATCTGGTGGTTAATTTGTGGTTAATTTGTTAACCCCCCAGCATCCTTAAATCTAAAAACCCTCCTGTTGGTATTCTAAGACTTATGGTTAATTCTTGGACAGTAAGTCTTGCATCGTTTTTTTTTAGAAGGTCAGGGGCTTTTGAGATTTTATTTTTGAAAACACTAGATGATCTCCCGGAATGTGTGTGGAAACACGTCTTCTATCACTCTAACATTTGCTTTTCCTTATGGAAACTCATTGTTGACTGAAATAAACCACTCCTTACATATCCGAGTAATTTCTTCACAGATTTCATTTCCATCTAGACCAAGGGTACAACAAACAAGAATGATTTTCCCCTAATTTTCAGGGTATGATGACTTTGTGTTTTAACAATACACTTGATGTCTAGTGTGTCCCATGTTGTTCAATTTCAATTATTATTATGTAATCGAGAGTGCAAGAACTGTTCCATATGTGACAAAGTCATTCATGGATTACCAAGTCTGCCATTAATGTTCAAAACCATATATAAAGAATAAATAAAATACAGCATAGGAATCTCTGGTATGATAAAGAATAAATTGTAAAAAAAAAATTAAAACTATTGAGGATCAGTCATATTGTAATATCAGTTCTGTTGTAAGGTCATCGAGAGTGGAATATACCGCCTAGAGTTCTATTGTTAAAGTTTTTGCAAACAGGACAGACAGGGAAAAACAGTTCCTTTTATAATTTATTATTTTTGTACATAATCCGTAATTTATAGACCAAATTTGGCAATTTTGGACAGATTTTAAATTGTTTGATCACTAAATGACGGAAACAGAATATTTTAACGAAAAACTTTTTGATTGTTTATGCTGTTGTACTTAGAATAGATCGTCACCAATACAATCAATCTTGAAATAGATGTTATGAAAACTTTGTAAATTGTTAACTTAGGTTCAAAGCACACAAATTTTTCAAAGTTATCTCCAGCAATGTAAAGGTTTGGGTTAACAATTTAAGATGATGAATTGGTGATATTATGTCAAAATTTAAAGTATAAAATATAATAAAGTTTTATTATTAAATTTAAAGTATATATTATAAAATATTATTGTCCTAAACACAAGTGCACTGTTTTGAGAATCATT